GAACATCGAGTGCTTTTGCGGCATTTCGAGAGACGCCTCACGACGTATGTTTGATGACGTGCTTTGTAACCATTTGCGCTTACTCGACTTTGAAATTTTGAATTACACCTCGATCCTGACTAACTTGATTATAGACTCGTTCCCGAGACAGTTTGTCTCGGGAACGAGTCTATAATCAAGTTACAACTGGAAATTGCACCAAGAATACTATCGGAGGGTGTCCTAGACACCAAAACTACAAAATCCTCAAGCGGACGCGCTGCATTCCTGTCTGGGAGACTTCTCGTAGTTCAAAAATGTTCGTATACTCGAGACCGGTATCAGGCATTTTTACTTTGATAGTAAACAACGAATAAGAGAAAGGAGTGGGCCGATAGGAAATATAAATAATAATTTAAAAGTTAATTAGTATTTACGAAGGGAATGGGTGTTTAGGAAACACAAGCCATCACAATTATAAAAACCGTGATAAAAAGAATAATTTTGGAAATCTGTAATGTTTCGAAATGTAATCGACAAAGGCAACTACGCAAGCTGCACGAACTACGCGTTGTACAAGCTGCCAGAATGTTACTTCATAAAATGTTATTGGAATAACGAAATGCTAATGGAATAAAATGTTACTTCATAAGATTTCAGTAAATAATATTAAAAAATATTTCGCCAATTTAGAAGACGATCAAAACATTTTTAGTTTTCCTTTGATAAAGATATGCCTGGCGCTTAGAGGAAAAAATGTAGAAAACAATAATACTGTATAGGTAGAAATCTTGTGGGTACCGCTTCCGAGTTTCAAGCTTATCTTTACCAAAGAAACACTGTTAAAAACATTTTGACCGTCGATACATAGACAAACGATTGCCTCAAATACTCGGGCTACAAATCAGCTAATTTTAATAATTAATTTGCTAGTAAAGGTAGAGTCGATAGATATACTGGTCCTTGTACTATGCTCTCAAGTAGAGTTAATGTGTCAAGTTGCCGATAGCTGGTGTTAGAGTCGCACTAGGGCGAGAAGTTGGTTTATCTATTTGGTTAGTAGGTAGTTTTATCGTTTTCAAACATTTTTGTAACTTTTTTCTACTGTTCTGTCGGAAAAATCTTATTTGTAATTACTGTACATTTTTAAATTTTATATCATGTATAAAGACACAAAAAGTATATTTGGTTTATAAAAAATTTAATATGATGTTAATTTGAAATTACAGATGAGGATGTGGATAAATCGAAAATAATTATATTTTTGATTTAATATATGATCGGTTTTAAATAAAGATCTGTTTAAAACTGTTATATTGCTACGTATTGTGAATGAAAGTTTTGTACATAATGTTCTGAGTATAATATACTCGTATCTGTTTAATAAATAAGTAATGGTAAAATAAGTAAATAAATTTGCATTTTACTGTTTTATTTTATTACATATGTATGACAATATAATTAGGAAAACCATAGCTTATCCTCTGATACATTTCATAGCCATAGAAATTTAAGCCAGATAAAAACAAATTATTTTTTAAATAACGTATTAACGTTAACACTACATAAAGTGTGCTATATAATTTTACTTGATTCTGTACAGTGAAAAAAAGTATTGGAAATGAAATAGTTTTGTATTTTTGACACAATAAATTACATTTCTTATGACAATCACATTGACTCTACATATTTTGGTAATTTATATAATATTCTGCACTATCAAAAATAGAATACGAATGAAGATTTATTGATGGCCTAATTACTAAGGACAGATGTATTAGGCCCTAATACATCTGTTCTTAGTTTATATAGGTTTAAAATTTCTTTTAGCCTCCATGTCATCACTAATCACTATCACTGTCAACATCTAATAATACTGTCTGAACTCTTGCCATCCTACATTTACCTGTTTTATTTGTCAACCCCTAACTCATCATCCTTTAATCATCTCTAAGTTATCATGTGCCTGTAAATATGCTGAATTTGTTGTCTAAATAGTTGGAATTTCTTCTTTTTCCTCTAACAGCCTGTATTTGAAATCCAAGAACTACATCTACTGACTTTTAATCCCCTCTCTAATCTGTTCCTAACTTTTTTTGGCTCGATTTTGATCTCCCCCTATCTCATTAATAAACACAACATAAATTGTGAACAACATATATCATAGCTCCTTTCTCACTGCAAACTACAATAATTTACCTAATATTAATAAATAAATAAAAAAGATACGATTAACCTCGATAAACTCCAAAGCCATTCTAAATCCTAAATCTCTTTTTTTGTAACACTTTAAATCTATCCTATCTTAACACATGATTTAACATTTCTATACATTTCCATAGTTTAATGTATATAATTTTCATCGACTCCTTTTCTTCCCGATTCAGAGTTCTCAGGAATCTCGAAGGCATCCTTTATTAATAATAATGTATACAAAGGCTTAACTATAAATTTTTTTACTACCCTTTTCTTACCCTTAATGAAAACCCCCCAAAATATTTAAAAATGAACACAAATTGTAAGCAAAAAACAAACAGTCTAATCAATTTAAAGTCTAAAATCGTGAAAGTGACAGTTAATAGAAATATAACATTATTTATTCATAAATATTAACGATATTTACGGATAAATAATGTTCAAAACCAGATTAAAATAGTATTTATGAGCAGTTCTTTAAAAAAGACAAAAGCAATATCTGAGTTAAAAACGAAAAAATTTCATGTAGCCTATTAAAAGAATTTCGAACGTTTACAGTTGACTCTCCTTATGTTCCAGCCAAAATTACGCCGAGAAGCGATTGAAGCGGCAAAATTATTATTTTATTACGCTAGTATCATAGCATTAGGGTGCGACTATGCAGACGCGAATTTAGAGCGAGCGAGAGGTTGCGAGCGATTTAGTTTTCGCAAAGGAAAACCATGCACAAACGAAAAGCGAGAAATAACGCTAGCGGGAGCGAATTTCTGGTTCTCGCACATATCTGACAGGTTTTGATATTTATCGCGTCTTGCCTCTTCTCGCCACATATTCTCGCTCGCTCGGAAAATTCGCTCGCTCGCTCGCGTCTGCATAGTCGCAGCCTTAGAGCTATTAGCAGCTTAAGGACCAGTATATCTATCGACTCTGCCTCTAGTAACAAATTACTTAGTATTAATTATTAAAATTAGCGAATTTATAGTCCGAGTATTTAAGGCGATGGTTTGGCTGTTTATATTTAAATTAAATAAATATATATAGGACTTCGGGTTGCTGAAAATATTTATTTTGACCGTCGTCTAAATTGTCATAAATTTTTATTTGGCGAAATTTTTTTACATCTCAGATGTCTTGCACTTAATTACGTCAAGACATAAGACGATGACGTACAATTCGGTCGCTCGACTGAACGAGTCGCCGAAAAATTCGCTGCCGACGGAAGCATTGGATACGCCGTTTAGAAAAATCATTATAAAAAGTTTTAATTGGCAGAAATTTGGGGTTTTCTAATTCCGAGTGACATGTCGAATAAAATTCATTCGTTTCCATGCAATTTTATCTTCACAAGCTTAAAATTAAGCCGTGAAACTAGATTAGCTCTATAGGAAACTCCCGTGAACTTTGACCTATCGACCCGGAAGTTTGGCCGGTACTTCATTGATAATCAGAAAGGGTTAAGTTTAAAATTTTGGCTTTCTAGACCCGGTAGTTTTTCTCTATCAGCGTCTGCAGTGCCGGATGAAGAAAAAGAAGAAAATGCGGCCCTTTTTGGCGAGTTTTGCACTTTTCGATGGCAACCGCATGTCTTGAAATTTTGCCCACTACGTAAGGAAACAGTTTCCCTTCGAACCAGATATTCGGAATTACTTCGGCTGTTTGGGGGCGGAGAAATCGACAACTCCGATTCCAGTATATGTAGTCGGTCGGTGACTTTTTTACTCGGAGGGTAGTCACTGGCGCGACTCCCGATATTTTCAGTACCATCCGACGTCAAAAATCTTAACATGGTCTTTAATCCGTCTTTTACGAGAATTGCATGTGTTAATTTCGTATTTCTCTCGGCAATCCGCGGGCCAATTAAATTAATTACTTTCCCACTACTCGATAGACTCGGCGATAAAATTTCTACGCGACGGTACGCATCTTCTACTGATAATTCGCGCGGAAGGGTCGAGCGCGCTCCCACCGATACGGACGTCGCACCATCGCACCCGTCGCCTAAACCAACATTTTCGCGTATTTCTACGTTTTCTTTCTTCGAAAAGTATATGCACGACGAGAGAGGCTAAAACCGGACTATCGTCCATTTCGCAATTATCTCGTGTCTCCATTATTTTTGTATGAAGCGTACAGAGAACGAGATTAGTACCCGATATCGGCGTATCCGAGAGTTTTCCGAGACGGCGAGCGGGTCCGCTATCTTTCTAACAACGGTTGGGAATAATCACAAATACCAACGTAACCTTACGTTTTTACTCCGTTGGCCAGACAAACGGAAAAGTCCGAAATCTGCAAATTTTCATTAAAGACGGTCCCTCAATCTCCTCCATCCTTTTGCACATTCTTCTGTCGACCACGCCGCGCAATTCGGCAAGACTAAAGCCACGATCCCCAGGCAGGGAGGACCACCAACGCCCCTAACTTTCCTGCGCCACCGGCGAAAATAAGCGGATTTTCCGGAGGGCCGAGGAAAAAACGGGTTCTCTCGTCCTCCCACTCGGACTTCCAGTCCGGAAACGACGAAAAACCTTTTGACTCTTTCCCACCTGAGGTGGTCAGGCCGTCGGATCCGCTCCCCCGAATACGAATAGTCGTCCGAACCCCGAATAGAATGTTTCCGGTTGCGGAGGGGAAAAAGGCGGCAGAAGGTAGACTAGGATTCGGGCGGAAGCGCCACCCGGAAGGAGAGAGGAGGGCGGTCGACGACGGCTTCGGGACGTCACCCGGACCGGGTTAACGAACGCGCCGGAGGTCGAGGGGAGGGACGGCCGTCGACCCGTCTGCCGCGGAACGAAGACGGAGGACTTTTTTCCAGTCGCGGCAGGATGAGGATTCCGCCGCTCGTCGGGCTGCTGGTGGCCTGGTGCGCCTTGCGCCGCCCGCCACCGGTCTGGAGTCGACAGAACTTCACCGGGTAAGGGAGGGAGCGAGTCGGACGCGCCCCGTCCCAGACGCTTTCTAATCGAGTTTTCTGGTCGTCGGCAGGCACAGGCTTCTGACGGCGGTGCCCGGGGACTTGCGGGAGCTGGACGCGCTCAAGGCGCTGACGCAGAACTTCCTGGTGAGTAGTGGAAGGGGGAGTATTCTTCGCACCCGCTAAACATTGACGCCGTCGGCAGGTGGACTTCTGGATCGAGCCCGGGGCCGTGGACGAGAACGTCACCCTGCGACTGTCTCCGCAGCTGGCCGATGCGGTGGAGAGATACCTGGAATCCCGGCGCATCCGCTACCACGTGCTGACCGAGGACCTGCAAAGGTGAGCGAGGAGGGGGGCGGAGGAAATTCCCCTCTAAACCGGTCTTTTCTTCCCGTAGGTGGATCGACCGGGAGCGAGAGGAGAACCGACGCGGGGATTCCGCCTCGGGGCGAGATTCCGCTTCCGACTTCGAGTTCGACGTCTATCACCCGCCGGAAGAGGTAAGGGTCCGCTTTCGGCTCCTCGGCCGCTCTACCTGCCATCCGCGTCCGTGACGGGAGCCGACGACGGCCTGGGCCAAAAAATCCCACCCCGCGGTCTGCCGGAAGCCGACTCTCTCCCCCCGCCACAGCCGAGCTTCTGGCTTTTTTCTAAGTCCGTTTAACCGGAATAAGGCTGGGGAATCGCCGTTTACGCTAAACTAACGCACGTCCGGACCCCTTGGATGGGGACAGCCCCGTCCTCATTAAGGACGGTCGGAAAGAGCCGTTTATGCCCGATTTCTATCGCGCTTTAACAAGCCCGCGGGTTCCCCGTTCCCACCCCTCGGCTGCCGATCCGACGACGCCGAGCGGCTGAAGAAGGAAAGAGAAAAAAAAACAACTTTAACGTAAAAGGCTCTTTTCGATCGTCGGAGACGGGTTTTATTTTCGTGGAAATGGGGTTTAGCGACCGGCGGCAGAGAGAGGGTCGGACTAAACGGAAAATAACCGACGCAGATAAACGGTTACTTGGACGAATTGGAGAGCCGATTCGGAAATTTGACGTCGGTGAGAAACATCGGAACCACCTTCGAGGGAAAAAGCATCCGTCTGGTAAAGGTGAGTGGCGGGGAAGCTCGGGTCCGAGAGGGAAAGCGTCTTCTGACTCCGGCGTGGCTTGCAGATTCGATCCCCGGGACCGGACAAGCCCGCCATCTGGATCGACGCCGGAATCCACAGCAGGGAATGGGTTTCTCCGGCCACCGGACTCTACCTGGTGGAGCGACTCCTGTCCGACTATGGCCACGACCCAGTCGTCACCCAACTGGTCGACACCTTCGACTGGTACTTGGTTCCCCTGGTCAACCCGGACGGATACGAGTACACCTGGCAGTGGGTGAGTCCCGCTCTCTCTCCCGCCCCCGACCGCCGCCCGAACCCACTTTCGACTTTCCTTACAGAATCGACTGTGGAGAAAGAACCGAGCCATTTCCAGAATCCTTCCCGGACTCATCGTCTGTAGAGGCGTGGATCCTAACCGCAACTTCAACGTCGGATTCGGAGGTAAGAACGAAAACGCCCGCCTCCCGGCCTCCCGCCCTTTTCTCACTCTTTGGATAACGCAGGCGCCAGCACCAGCGGCACTCCCTGCTCGCCCATCTTCAAGGGAGACGGCGCCTTCTCCGAAGCCGAGACTATCGCCATTCGTGATGCGGTGTGGAAGATCAGACACAGATTGAAGGCCTACTTCACCCTGCACTCCTTCTCCCAGCTGTGGATGTGTCCCTACGGTTACAGCACTCTGCCCTCCGACGACTTCTCGGAACACGTGAGTTACGGAACACAGATGGTGTCTCCCGCCGACCACGGCCTAACACGCCATTTCTCTTCGGCAGATGGAAGTCCTGAGGGAAGCGGTGGAAGCGGTGGAAGAGACGCACGGAATGCATTACAGATACGGACCTTCGGCCAGCACCCTGTGTAAGTATGAGGGACGAAGAGCGAAAGGAGGAGGACGGATTCGTTTGACGTTTTGTTGCTTTTTCAGATCTGGTGAGCGGAACTTCGTCCGACTGGGTATACCAAGAGGCGGGAGTCAAGTACAGTTTCGCCGTGGAGTTGAGGGACACGGGGCTCTTCGGATTTCTACTACCCCGGGACCAGATTGTGCCCACGGCCGAGGAAACTTGGGCGGGAATTCGAGCGGCCGTCCTTTACATATCCAAACAATTAAAGAACTGAACCCACTTCCGCTCCTTCCAGCGGCGCATCCGCAGCCCGGAACGGAAGCTTACCCTCAAAGCCCATATTCCGCCGGGACTAAAGCGGATTTCGTTTTACCCGAAATTTTCTACGCTAATTTTACGTTTTCGTGCGAGTATTTGGAAATTTGTGTCGAAACCGTCCAAACTGTGTTCGAGATAACGCAAGTGCTTTGCCAGCCAAACTGCTGTAAAAACCTAATAAATTACGGAGGTGTCTTTCTTTTCGCTCCGTTGTTTGGTGTCTCCGGATTAAAAAAAAAAAATAAAACAGATACCGAGCGATCGAAGAGTGTTTTAAACCGGAATCCGTCGGATCGGAGGCCCTTCTAGCGTCGTGGGGCGTACGAAACGAAAATCCCTCTCGGGCTTTAAACAGTCCGTCCGGTTAGATAACGGGAAGAGGGAAGGAAAATATTAAAGCGCGAAACATTAGACCCCCTCGTGTAGAAAATGGCGCAAATACTGGTAAAAGTACCGAAGCACGTCCTTAAAGGTGGTCCTCTTTGGACACCGGACCTAACGGCGTTTTCTTTTTGCCAAGTTGGAAGACGCGCCTCCACAAGAGTATTTTATCGTAGAGGACAAGAGGCTAGAACTTTCGGAATCTATCCATCGGTTTATACGAATTGAGTAATTGTTTCTTCCAACTGTACTTGTTACGTCGTTTGTCGATGTCCAATAACGTAACAATAGAGGCCGGAATACGGAAGATTTGCGACGTTCCTCTACGATACCGTACGTCGTATGGAATTTTTTTCTCCAGTCGTATTCCGTATTCAGCACTCGACCGGTACTAGAACCACGGGAAACGTTTAGCTATGAAACCGCTCGGGTTATTTCCGCCAAATGTTGCCGATTTTATAAATTTTGTGAAATATCCGGTCGAAATAAACAAAGGGGATGCGGCGCTGTTGCGTAAAGATAATTTCTTACGTACCGGGAACTTTGTCAAATGGCAATTACCGCAAAAGACGGAAGAAAACGCGTCACCCCAACGTGGGATTTCGAAACAAAGCACCAGAGGAAGCCACCACCAGTTTTTTCTATTTAGCATCTGCGCGTTTTTCTTATTTTATACTCGGAAAATGCTTTGGAATTTTCATAAATAAGTTTAGCCAAATCAAATCGGATTAAAATATGCTACTTAAAAATTGGAAAATTAAAAAGAACGTCTCTGTCTTTTCCATAGTTTATAAAGTAAAAAACGGTTTAAAATTAATTTTTGAAAGGACGAAACAAATCGAATATCCAATAAGAGCGGAGAAAAGAGAGGAAAGTCACCGCACGCTTCGAAATAATTATCTTATTATAATAATTTCACGTAAAAAGGGAAACGTACTTAATCCTCTCGGCGTAGGACGTTAATTACCAAAAAATACTAACAAACAAACAACAGACCGTGACGGATGAGGCCTCGGTTTAAACATTTCAATAGAACATAAAAGACTTATATCCATTACAAAACGGCATTTGACGGAGTTATACGTGTGAACTCCGGTTGGCACGTGAAAGTTAAGAAGAATAAGAACCGTCTAAACCGACTAATAGTTTACCGATGTTTTGAAGAATAGAGTAACTCTATCCTATTGAAAAGGAGAAATGAAAACATTCGAACTCCTACAACTCGACGTTGGCAAAGAGACGACGGATTGTCTTGGGTGTAGGTAAGGAGGAATCTGGCAAATGCCAGATTCCTCCTTATCTACACCCAGACAATCGAAGACAGCTTTTCCGGATTGATTAGAAGTCGTCTGCGTGAGAGTTACCGTGTATAAATAACCGCTCACCCGGCACGTTAAACCTTTTTGTTGAAATCGCAGAGTCCACCTTTTCTCTAAATCAGTGTTTCTCAACGGGGCGATATCGCCCTCATGTGGGCATTTTTCCATGTTGAGGGGGCGATTAGTAACTATATTTTGGGGGCTAAAAACAATTTTCTGGGCGATATAGTAAAACACATTAAGAATAATTGGATATTTTATTCGTTATATCGTACAATAATTAAACAAATAACATCATACTAGTCGCTAGTCTATTCAATGCAGTACAAATTGTGTTAGCCTTGGCCCTCGGCATTGGAATTTTGAAGTGAAGGGAGCGATACTACGTAACGGTTTTATTGAAGGGGCGACGATTCATTAGAGGTTGAGAAACACTGCTCTAAATGAACAATCTTAATGTAAAAGCTTACTATTTTTTAAATCACAATCCTCTTATAAGTAGTTTACATTATACACCGGGGGAGGGGTCGGCAACCTTTTCGTTACTAAGGGCTCAATAAAAATCTTAAAAACCATCCAGGGCACATAGTTTAATTTTTGAAATGCTCACAATGTCGTAAAAATAAACAAAACAAGTATTTTGTGTAAATATACATACTTCAAAACAAAGATTATACCAGCGTGTAAGGCGGTCCGACAAATAAAGTTTGCCAAACAATAGCCATACCCACCTGCTCTACGGAAGTGTGATCGGGTCGACCAGCAAGTGCAAAAACAAGAATCTTCCGTCCAACGGGGGTTCGAAGATCGGGAACCAAACGGCAAAATAAAACACAACCGCAACAAATCCTGTAATTGCTACGGGTAGAAAAGGAGAGACCGACAGAAACCCGAGAAAAATCCTAAATTATTATCTAGCCAGAGAGGATGATCGGAAAAAAAGGGCGTGCGCGCGGAACGGGCCGACCACCGCGCTGCCATATTAATCAACAAAAGATTGTACTTTTTACCTTTGAAAAATAGTTTGACGTTGCTTTTTGTTATTAAATTACAGTAATACCCCGAACTTACGCGATAGGTGGGACCGAGCGGTAACCGCGTAAGTCGGGGTATAATTTCGCATATAAATACATGCAAATAATTTTTAATTGGGGCCCGGAGACTAAAGAAAACAATAATTTAGAAAAAAATGTTTAATAAAATCTTAGATAATACATATGTATAACAAATTAGGCCTATATTATTTTACAATTTTTCACATTTACTTGATTATTACGCCATAATTTTAACATTGTTTCCATCTCAGCGATAATACTGTGACGTTTACGAATGATGCTTGAATTTAAAGATTGAGCAATTTTCACAGCTTCGAGAATTTTTTCTTTGCCTTTTATAATTGTTCTGACCGACAATTCCGGTAGATCAAACTTCTTTGCCAATTCACAAATTTTCATTTTTGTATCGAAGTCTTTAATAATGGGTACGTTCGTAGTCAAACGAGTTAAACGCGTTAGTAACGAATCGTTCGAAAAGTCTAACGAAATAGGAATAACGATGACGTCATTCTCGTTTAACTCGTTCGACTTTACGAACATACCCAATGTTAACTTTACATTCCAAAGATAAAAGTTTTTCTTGTTTGATGCGGAGGAATTAGTTCTACTTCGTTTGGATGACATAGTAGAGTCTTTCGAGTCTCCGTAGATATAACAAACACAGAAATAAATAACACAAAATAAATTGTAGCTATGTGTGGATTCCGCGCAACACATCCGAACATGTAAGCTGAACAATAGTGTGGGGGAAGTGAGTAATCAAGGGTTGCGTGGCGCTCAAACAAAAGACGAATCGACGAGATTTGAAAATCGCGTAACTCCGGGTTCGCGTAAGTCGGGGTATTACTGTACTTAAAGATCTTTAAATTTTGTTTTTTAATAGGAACGAACGCTACCATCTCTCTCTTTTGATTTTTTTTTGGCCGGGTTTAAAAATATATCAACTCAATTCACATATTATTTTTCTTACTAATATAATCAAAGAAAACGTCCAAAAGTTACTCTAATGTCAAATTTATTAAATTATCTAAAGTATTTACAAGTAATCTGTGAACAAACTTTTATTTCAGCAGAAATTCAATATTTACCCAGAAATTTTTTCCACCATAATACTAACGGCAAGTTATTGTTTCTTACGGTTAATTTTGGGCTAAAGACATTGAAATCTTCTTTTTGCAGTCTTTTAAGGTAATCGTCGCAGACGATCTGTTTGAAAGAAAAATAGTCCCGTCTACACCAAATAACTAATAATCAATAATAGAAATTTCTACTTACTGCAGGCAGAAACACACATGTTGTATTTTTTGGGATTTTATTTTTCAAAGATCTGGTCTGAAATAGAAAAACAGTTATAAAATGCATTTCTTTATAATCAGTCTTTACTTTAACTTATAATTAGTTATCAGTCTGCCAAAACGTAAACTTATTATTTTAGGCATATTATTAACGATTATTTAATAATTGGTTTTATGCATTTATGGGTGTATTGTATAAGAAAATCTTTTGTTAATTCAAATTTTTAAGAGCGCACTGTTGTTCCTGTTACATACTAACATTGAATAAATCAAACGACTGCTTCTATCAGGTAGCAAACGTCTTTAACGAAAGAAAGAAATGTTTTTGATCAAATGTATGATTTTCTACAAGTGCTGTTCTGTAGAACTTTAGAGCAACCACTAAGGGTTCCACAAAGTTATTTAGGCCTATAAAGATTTTTAAATCTTTAAAAGTTCTTTTAAAGTATACTCGTTTAATCGGAACCTTAGCTATACTAATTTTAACAGGACAAATTTTATTCGGGAAGACAACTTTATTTATTTTGTTCACAAGAAACATAGTAGGTCCATCTTCTTACTAAAAACAATGAAAACTGTTTGTTTTTTACTCTAAAGAGAAACCAGACAACGGATTAAAAAATTAAATATTGTTGTAACTATGCTAGATGATGTGAATTTCTTCGGAGCCCAAAATTTGCTTTCTCCCCAGGTTTACGAAAATTTTAATGGTATGCACAATGGCATGATCCATTGGAAGGTAGCTTTACTTCTATCTTATTACAGATTATTCCTATAATAAGTGGTAACATAAAATTTTGCAAAGAGGAATATATTTTTATATGAAAAAAAGAAACATTCAAGATTTTTTACTTAAATAAAATTCATTAATATAATTGAATTATTATTAAGTAATATTATAATTGTAAATTGTAACTTCTGTGTTTTTGTAAAAATGTAATGATTGTATTTATTGATAATATTTTCTTTTCTTTTTTTTGTGAACATGCAGGAAGACTTGCTATGGCATCATTTATTAATACAGGGCTTAAAGCAGTCATGGCAGTGAGAAAAAGTGAAAAAAGAGAGTTCACACTGAGAAAAAGCTAATAGTATTAAAGTGAACTAAAAGAGGCATTATTAAAAAAAATACACAAACACACACACATTTTGTATCAATAACATTGCATATATTAGATTGATTTTTAATTGGACTGAAAAATTTAAATATGAAAATAGTTAGGCTGAGTTTATACTCCAGAAAAGTGACCAATAAGACTGCATTAAGTTTTCATGTGTCCCTAACGGAGTTTTTATCTTTACAGCAAAGGAAATGGAAGAGTAACATAACTATCAGAATGTGTCTCCATATAACATGTCAAATTTCAAATGGCATTTATTTCAAGGTATATTTTTTGATTTCTTGTTAAAAGAAATTTGTAATTAAAGATGATTTTCTTTTGTTTAAGTCATACTGCAGTTTCTGCACTTCTCTTGTTTTCTCCTCTTCTTCACACTGAATTTTCTTCACACCAGAGTAAACAATTCATTATAAATTAAATAAAATTGCCAGGACATATATGACATTTATAGAAAAAATATATATATTTTTTAAATGTCATATATGTCCTGACAATTTTATTTAATGTAATTATTATTTTAAATTTTGCTGTGCTACCGCTAGAAGACTTTTGTAACTATTTTACATTTTTTGGCAAATGGTAGCCTACAAAGAAAGGTCGACTTTGCCGGTGAATTGTTATTGCCTTATACAGTGTGTAAAAGGACAAAAAATGAATTAAGACTCATCTCTGTATGTATAGTCAAAGGAAAATATATTTTTTTCTATAAAATTCATTATAAAGTTTATGATTAAAGGATCATTGCACTGAAAATGCCCAGTAAACTTTGTGCATACTTCAGCACTAGATATTCCCAAATAGAGTTCAGCTTTGATGGTAGAACACCTCAATGACTTTGAGATTATCTTATATGAAACACTATTCATTAAGCTGGAATTCTTGAGGAAGGTGCTTTAGGAAGTAAAATATAAGTCCTTCCCATTGTTTGATCAGTTGTTTTGCTGCAGGACCAAATGTCAGTCATCTAGTAGATGAATACTTCATTAATTTGTTGTATGGCAAATTAAGTTTCTCTTGAATTTCTGTGTATTCGTCCCACCTAGAGGGCCACCCAACAAAGAAGCTGTGTTGCAATGATGAGATCACCACCATCTCTGCCCAACTCTTTCAGGCCTTTCAAAAAGGCATTATGGATTGTACAAATGCTGCAAGTCCCTATGTTGACGAGGCCTTTTTTGCGAGTTGTCAGAATTTCCTCATTTATGAGACACAATACCTTTTTGTTTACGTTTGGTCCATTGCATCCAATCATCAGTAATTTCTCAAAAGGTAGATATGAATCTTCAATTGCCAGTATTATTTTTGATTTAATTGTTTCGGCATCTGCATGCCTGATAAATGGTCTGGAGATGCATGCAGACAACTTCCTGTTGTTCCTCTAACCAGTATCTAATCAGTATTTGCAGTTATTTTCTGTATTCTACATTGCATGTCTCACCATAAGAAATGCTATAATATGACCATTGTGCATCATCTATCATTTGATCAAAGAAATATGGGGCCAAAGCTTCAGTGATTAAGTATCTCATTTTTTGATGTGACAATGAGAATTCTTTTGGAAGATTGTTTGTACACTTGGCATTGATTGTCTCCTTTGTATCATGACATGATGCAAATGAATAATTGCCGGCTGCCATTTTCATAGTCCATATAAGCTCTGCAATGTAAGCACCATCTTTTGTACTACAAAGTTGAAGCACTGGTTGTTGCAATGATTGGTGTTCTGAACTAGCACCTGAGTCTACAACATTGCTCACATTAGCAACACTTTCGGCACTAATACTTTTACATTGAGACATCTGAGGGGCAGTCGTCAGTCTTAACTGCTTGGGACCGAAGGCATCATTGCATTTATTTATATGTTTCTTGCAGCTTGAATGTTGGAGGATTGCAGTATGGTGGTGTGCTGGTCACACTATTTTGCTCCTGAATGCATTTACAAAAATAAATAAATAAATTCCACATGGGAAGTGAAAAAAGCTAAAAAAGCATATTTGCCTCAGAAAAAGCTAAAAAAGAGAGAAGCTATGAAAAAAAGCTAAAAAACTGAGTCACTTTAAGCCCTGTTAATAAAAACAGAAAACGAAATATATAATCTGATTAAATCTAATTTTAACTTATTTTTGAACTATTTGTTTCTGTCTTTAATTTACTTGTAGATTTTTATGAGATGAAAAAAATCTTCAAAAGTATTGATATTAAATAAACTTAAAGGTCTTGATAAAAACAGACTTTAAGATCCACTAATTGTGTGACATCTGAGTTAAAAAGTTTTGTTGTTAAACTTTTCTAAAATTGCATTCTTCTATAATAAATAAAAATAATTTTGTGCAAGTCTAAAACTCATGCTAGTGCTAGCTCTGTATTTTACTTTTTGAAGATAATAGTAACAACACAGAAAACATTTGCAATTGTTTATCTATATATACTGTATAAAAATGAATGTATGTCTGTGTGTCTGTCCTTCATGCATTACCACACCATTTATCCAATTGCCATGAAACTTTGGGAAGTTGTTTAATATATTCCCGCGAAGGTTTCTGGCACAGTACATTTATCCTACAATAGATGGCGCACGTGTATACGAGCATTTTACTGTGTGTTCGATCGATTTCAAATTGTGAAGACCATTTCCCCCTCCAAAAATATCTCTATATATGCATTTGTTATTTACGATATTTGTAATTATTTTTGTTTAATCACTTTATTTCAACTTGTTTTTTGCTAATTATATATTCACTCGAACTTTGTTAAAACCTTAACTGTATCCCGAACAACAACCGAAGTTGTAGGAGGAAATTCGCCTATTTTACCGATCTAGGGATCTCCCTTTTCCAAATTTTAATATCAACTCAAAATAATTTAAAAAGACAAATTACAATAAAATGATTTATTATCCAACTATCAGAAATTTCACATGCCAAGGAAGAGTGGAAGGAGCAATTAAATAATCAAAATTATAAAGGATTAAAAAAAATATATAAAAATGGGGAATATCGCACTTTAACAATCTCTGCGAGCATGTGGGCTAAATTTAAAGAATCAGTGCTGCTCACATGTACAAGTGTATGTGGCCAGCTCNCCTCGGTTTAAACATTTCAATAGAACATAAAAGTCTTATATCCATTACAAAACGGCATTTGACGGAGTTATACGTGTGAACTCCGGTTGGCACGTGAAAGTTAAGAAGAATAAGAACCGTCTAAACCGACTAATAGTTTATATATTGTAAAGTCTTTGTAAATCCGCACTTAAAATGTAAATTTTATTTTATTATAATGAGTTTGCTTGAATTTCGTTTCTTCTGAGATTGCAGCAATGCGCGACGGGTAAGCTAGTTCATTATACAATTCCAAGTGTTCTCTATACCAGGAGTGCCCAGACTTTTTGCTGTAAGAGTCCTAGTTACCTACCTAAAAATATTGGGAGCTGCACATAAAGTTCTTGGTATAAAAATTAAAAAAAACTTCAGAATCTTAATGTAGTTATTTTGACAATTAAGATAAGCTGTTCCATTAATTAAAGCACGCTGTTTTTACATATTTATTACATTTTTAAAAACATGAGTTGACTGTGTCTCTGGCGTATTTATAAAATACAGAAATTTTTAAAAAATAATAAATATGTTTTATTTATTAGTTGAGCCACAATTAAGCTCTTGAAGAGCCATATGCGGCTCGTGAGCCATGGTTTGGGCATTGTTGCTCTATGCTACTGATAAATAATTTTATGAAACTATTTGATATTGTCACTGATGTACATTTTTAAACTTTCCTTAATTTTTATAGAAAAGATCTAGGAAATTTGCTTATTGAACAAAGTTACCTTAACATCATATGAAAAAATATTTCATTAATTATAATGCATTACTGTTATCTCAAGGTTTTAAAAAAAATTAATAGTTCTATACATTATTTTGCTTGTTTTTGTAGGAAAAGCTTTAAGAAAAAAAAATTCCTTTTTACTTTTACTATTGATATCTACGAGGGTCATCCCAGAAGTACCCGACCTGACATAGATGGCAGTACTTGTTTGAAAAAAAACGACTGTGTTCGAAAGTATTAACCTTATAAAGCTTAAGTTTGAAGTTTGAAGACGTTACATTGTATAGTATTTTTTGGCAGCCCATAAATAATGAATAATCTCAGTGAATTTGTAAACATGGAAAAAATTTGTCATCGTTATGTGATACAATACTTTCATTTGAAAGGTTTCAGTCCAACCAATATTAAAGCTGAGCTAGATTCTACTCTGGGGGAGTCTGCTCCCTCGTTTACAAAAATAAAATATTGGGTGTCAGAGTTTAAACGAGGCCGTACGAGCTGCCAAGACGAACATCGTAGTGGTCGACCAAGTGAGGTGACCATGCCAGAAGTGGTGGAAAAAATCCACAAAATGGTATTGGATGACAGTCGACTCAAAGTGTGAGAACTAGCAGACATGGTAGGCATTTCAACTGAAAATTTGGACATGAGAAAGCTGTGCGCAAGATGGGTGCCGCATTTGCTCACAATGGGACAAAAACAGCGTCGTGAGGACGTTTCAATTGAGTCTTTGGCAATGTTTCACAGCAACAAAGCCGAGTTTTTGCGTCGATTCATAACCATGGATGAAACATCCATGTTTCATCCATGGTTATGAATCGGGTCCATCACTTCACACCTGAGACGAAAGAACAGTGGAAACAATGGACTGAAAGGGGAGAATCAGCTCCAAAGAAGGNAACAAAGCCGAGTTTTTGCGTCGATTCATAACCATGGATGAGACATGGGTCCATCACTTCACACCTGAGACGAAAGAACAGTCGAAACAATGGACTGAAAGGGGAGAATCAGCTCCAAAGAAGGCGAAAACAGTTCCATCTGCTGGCAAGGTCATGGCGTCAGTTTTTTGGGATGCGCCCAGGAAAAACAATCAACGGCAAGTATTATGTGAACTTATTGCAGTGCTTGAGTGATGAAATCAAGAAAAAACAGCCACATTTGGCGAAAAAGAAAGTGTTGTTTCACCAAGACAACGCACCAGTTCACACATCCTTTATTGTGATGGCCAAAATCAATGAGTTAAGGTTCAAATTGCTTCCTCACGCATCCTATTCACCAGATTTAGCCACCTCAGATTATTTTCTCTTTCCAAACTTAAAAAAATGGCTTGGTGATAAAAGATTTGCCAACAATGAAGAGGTGGAGTCTGTGGTTGATGGCTATTTTGAGAAGCTTGATAGTTCTCACTATAAACAGGGGATCGAAGCTATTGTACAGTACATTGCTGGAAAAAGTGTATTGAGCTAAAAGGAGACTATGTTGTAAAACAAAGATATGTTTTACCAAATTTTTTGTGTCTTCTTTGTTAGGTCGAGTACTTCTGGGACTACCCTCATAATTGTCTTATAAAATATTGTATAGCTTTTGTGTACTGTTTGATATTATAATATCTAATAAAAATTAAATTAAATTTAATGTTTACTAACCATTTGAAGATGCTGATTTGCAACGGAAGCTATTTCATATATCATATCAGTAATATTTTTATTCTGTCTTCCTCGGATGATGTCTTCTTGAGATATGTCATACTAAACAAATTAAAATTACTTAATTTAAATATATACTATTTATTTTATTATATAAAGCAATGTTGTGAAACAAATGGGTGCCACTCTTGCTACAAACAGACAGGAAAGTACCAACTTTCGATCAATCCCAAAAACAAAAATTTTGTAAGATACATACATGTCCAAAACGTACGAACGGACAACATTTGTACACGAATGGAGAGAACCGTAGACAAATGTGGACAAATATGGCAAAACCGTATTACTCGAGGTCTAATGCCAGGTAATACCCGACGACATGCAGGATTTTACTAATTGAAGCATAAAAGGGTTCTGCATTGTAAAAAAATAATCGTATTATTGAAAGAAACAATGTAACAATTTTATATACAGAAAAAGATCAAAGGATCTATATTTAAGAATATTTAAAAGACACGGGATGGTAATTCATTGATAAAATAGTATTAATTTAAATAATGGAATGGAGATTGATAACATATAGTGCATCATTACGAATTATAAAAAGTGTTGTAAACACAAAGTGGGATAGCAAGATACAGAATTGGCCAATTCGCATATCGTTAAGGTTTGTTTTTATATCTTTGTAAAAATGTGGCTTATTTGTGAAAGATATTAATGTACAATATACAGTGGAACCCCGGTTAATGAACGTCCTGGTTAACGACCAAATTGGTTAACGAACTTTCATTTTGCAAAAATTTTGTCTCGGATAACGAACAAAACTCGGATAACGAACGTAACGGTATTTTGTGTCAAATTTTAGTTGATGTTAGGCATGCGCAAGTTAAGCATTGCTTTTCCGAGTGTTTGTGCTATACTTCTTTTTTCAATTTTGTGATTTATATATTTAATCAATATGGCATCCAAGAAAGAAAAAATTCATAGTGGCAATAGAAAACGACAACGCAATATAAACTACAATGCGTTATCGCATTTGAAAAAAATTTTGATTAAAAGAGTAAGACAATCAACTTTAGATCAATTCCTTACGGAAAGAGTTTGTTTCTTTGTTAAGTTATGGCAACGCAACACTTGGGTGATCTGACTAGAGGGAATGCCTTCTGGGAGGTATTTTTAAGGGAAACTGGCCCCTATTTAGGTGTTACAGACGTGGAGAAATCACGGAAAACTCCACGTGGCCAGCCCGTCTGAGCGCGGTGCGAACCCACGAACGAACTCCCCGTGTTCAAGGTACGAAGACCACTTAGCCACTGGTGGGTTTTTTTTACCGAAAGAGACTTCGACTCGAAGAATCTTCCGATGAAGTGCTACCCGTTATTTTTTTGGAGGGGATTCCCCTTCTAAGCATTAAGGTTCGTATATCTCCACTTTTCTGCCACCAACTACAACAAACGAAGGTATGTACAGTGCTATTTTATTAAACAAAGTTTACATGTTTGTTGCTGTAATGATAGATACTACGTTTTCCTACATTTTCATCAAAGAAAATCTACTGTATATTACAAATAAAATCACAAAAATTTCGGAGACTAGAACGGATTAATTGCATTTGCATTAATTTCTATGGGAAAAATTGCTTCGGTTAACGAACAATTCAGTTAACGAACGGAGTCATGGAACGGATTAAGTTCGTTAACCGGGGTTCCACTGTATCTTTTTCAATTTGTATCCTGAGGAGGAATCAATAACTTTTTTGTTTTTAATCCAAAATGCATTGCTAAATAAAAGTAACAAAAGAGTTGATTAGAGGTCTTGGTCTCTATTCAATATGGATAGTTTGAACGAGATGTGATAAACTCACTAGATATGGGATTATCCCAAAGAATCTTTTATGAAATGTTATATCTATTTCAATTTTAACAATTTTAATTAATTTCTCTAAGGAAAAAGTAAGTCTTTGGTGAAAAAGATACATACTTATAAAGCAGTTAGACATAACATTAGCAGTTAGACATAGCACTCACGATGTTGTAGCAGGCTTGTCGCCAACTGGGTCAGTGACTTTTTCTAGCTACAGCTGCTAGCAATTGTGTTCGTCCTTAAGCTTTGAACATGTGTAACAACAACAATAGTTAACAACTAATGTATGCAACGATACACATAATATACATTAATAAGCACATAATTATGAAGCATTTACTTAATGTCTTAAATTTTTTATTATTCAAAGGTAAACAATTTTCCATATTTAAAGATAAATAACCCACACCTTAAAATTAATCCGGCAGGTATTTTTAATAACAAACATTTTCAGTCCAATTGATGGATCTTCATCAGTTTTGGAATACAATTTAATGAACAGAATAAATACAATGTCTGTTCTGTTTGCTCTATTCTTGAAGACAAAATGTATAAGTACATCAATCTAAAGAGTGTTTCTGAAATATTTATTAAATTTCTCAACATTTGTAAAAAATTTAACAAACAAAAATATTTGAAATTCTCTAATGATATTTTTATTAATTAAGTAAATTTTTAAAAATGTAAGAGCATTTTGTAACTTAAATTTTAAATTAGCTACCTTCAACTGTGGGATGTATCATAAATTATTATTACAGTTTATTTTAAAAAGCAAATGTTCATTTCTCTTATAGAGTTGGCCATAATTAAAGTTTCCTTATTCAGAGCACTCTATAACTGTAACCAATAAGCAGTGACATCAAAATTTGTATATGGACTATGAGAATGATGCAGAATAAGGATTTTGCAAAAAAAAATTAGTTTAACAACTTCCACTAAGGGTGCTTTAGAGGAGAATACACAAAACAAAGCACAGTAAATAATGAAGACTAATGTTAAAGTAATATTTTAATCTTATATTTTAAACATCACAAAGTTGACGAAAATGATGAGAGATCTGAATCTGTATGATTTCTAATTATATGACGATTTAAAAAAAATAGTTTATCATGGAAATGTTGCAATTTTGGCAGACTTAAATGATTATATTACACTGCAGGTGTGAAGCATCACCAAAGAGCAGTTGCAGGCGGTCGTTTGGGTGACAAACACACCGTTTGTCATCTTCATATTTTATACCTGAACAATGAGGCACACATCGAGTGACATTCCTTACGTCAATAAACAACCTCTGCAGAAGACCTGTCCCTTGCAGAACAGTGCATTTTCATCGTCTTGTTTCCTGTATTTTCCCTATAAAGCACACCAGCAGAAGTTTTTGAACTAAATTTTGTTTGAAAAATCCTTTTCTTCATTCTTTGCATAGTCTGTATACAAATTTTGGTGTCAATCCACTTATTGGTTTAAATAGTGCTCTGAAAAGGAAAACTAATTATAGCCACCCTGTACAGTAGAGACATCCAAGTGTAGTTAATATAGTTTAAGTTAATAAACTATTTCTATAAAGATAAAAGGAAAGTGTATTGGTGTGTGCCCAATGTCACCAACAATTTTGCATTTCTTAAAAATGATTTGAAATTTTAAATTTATACAGAGAAGCTTTAAAGAGAAGAATTTCCACATTGAATTTGAATGAATTGAATAGACAGATAAAAAGTATTCATTGTGTTTATTTGTAAAAGGTATTTAAATTAATTAGTTTAGTTTCACATAGATATTTACTAGTGTAATGAGAGAAGTTGGTACATGTATTCTAATCAGAAATATATAAATAAATATATATATGTAACATAAATTTTCCTGTAAATTTCACTTTGCATGAAGGTGTAATTGGACTGATTATTCTACAGATATATTTATATCTGTGGAATAATCAATCAATCCAATATATCTTACACCTATATATTTTTTGTGTTTCTAATGGATACAATCTCAAAACTCGATTTGTAAATTTTGTATTCAACAAAAATTTCCCATGAGTTTAAAGCTAATAAAATTCTTTCAAATGTAATTAAATTCTAATCAATATGGAAATTTTATGTATATAAAAAATATTACAATTAAATTAAAGTGCCTACTAATGTGAGGTAGATAAAAAGTAAGAACACTTTGCCTTCTGTCCTCATACCTTCAGGAACAAACAATCTCTATATGCAAAGTTGACCTTTTATTGTAAGTGGGCCACCACCTAGGAACTGTATTTTAAAAAGTTTTTACATACAGAAGCAGACAAGAAGCCTCAACAAAAAGGTTGACTCAGCCTGTAGAAACTATTTGTTCCTGAAAGTATAAGAAGGACAGAAGGCAAAGCATTTCTTCAAAATGATTTAGTGCTTCAAAATATTGTAATATTTTTTATATACATATAATAATTGACCTGGCCTGTTTTAATACTTTGTATTAATTGAGAATTTTATATCAATAATTTTTCTTCAGCAAGAAAATTATATATCTTCTAATGAAAACAAGCTTTTTGTTATTTCACTCATGTTTATTTTTAACTTAAAATAATATTAAGCCATTTTTGAAAGTTATCAATAACAGGTCCAGTCAAAACTCAATTAGACCAATATGGCCAAATTGGTCCAATTGAGTTTTGATTTGTAGATTTACCATATAATTTTTAACCAGAAAAAAGTACATTTAAGAAATTTTTCCAGTTAGATGTTATAATAAACATACTATTTTGATTTTACCCAGCTAATAACATTTTTCTATTAAGGTCTTACTTTTTGTCTAAAATTTAACTTTCCTGGACTTGAGCAAGTAGTGGTGTTATTGGTGGAAGACAAAGAAGTCAGTTGTGTCAGATACCAAGCTCACTGTTATCCATTTTAATCCTGACAAAAATTGGATCGCTGTTCTAATAAATTAACAGATATGGAAAGGGACAGACTAGTTTTAAAAATGGAAACATCAAAACATCATCTTTGTTTTATGGCAAACCTAAGAAAATATTTGAATTTCTTCATGAACACAAAAAAGTTATAGTATTTCCTATCAGTTTCATTGCTTTTCAAATATATTTAACTATTCCCATTATGATAGCATTGGGTAAAAGTCTTTTCAGAAAGCTTAAATTAATAACAAATTTAATATCAACAATGTGGCAAGAAAGACTTAAGAACAGTTATATCATCCATAGAATGTGCTAAAGCAAGATGTTTAAATTTCAAAAAAATTTTTGAACAAATTTGATGGGAAAAAAAAAATAAATACTGTAAATAATCACAAAAAATTTCAAATTTAAAAATTGGACATTATCTAAAACTTATTATGATTATAATTTTTAAACCATTACATTTAATTATTTATGTTTAAATAAAAAAATAATGAAATAATAAAATTACAATATAGATTTTATTTATAAAATAATAATTGCATACTCTTTATTCTTTGAAGAAAATATTAATTTTAAAGAAAAAAAAACAGTAAAACAAAAACAAATGTAAGAGTACCACAAAAATGTTTCCAATGTGATCCTGTGTTTGCCAGGATCATAGCTAATAAATGATAACTCACAACAATTAACTTACTTTTATTAATTCCTGAATTGGTATATCTACTCTTCGTTTTGAGGCATTATAAGGAATACTTCGAATCAAGTTTAAAATGCCTTGACATTTTCCCAAATGACTTGCAGCATGATCACAAGATAAACTATTAACTCCTAATTAAAATAAATAAATAAAATATACAGTTCATATATTTTTAAAAAGAAATTAAGTGTAAACATTTTACATATAATCACAGTTATAAATTATAAAATCTCATATAAATTAGGCTGGCAGTAATCACATTATAGTAAATCATTGCACAATAATTGAATCCTCTGGAACATATTATAAACTGTGCTATAATAAATCCCACAAAACAACCATTTACCATGCAGTGAATATTTATTATTCTAATATTTTTGGTCATCCTAATTTACCTTCAAGAGATTGATAAATGGTTATGTTTTGTGGTTAATTCTGGTACAGTTACGGGACTCTTTAAAAAAGGTCTATAACTAATCAAAATAATCAAAAAATTTCTTACTGGAACTAATTCAAATACATAATATAAGAAAACAACGCCTTCTATAACATTCCAGCAACAAAATTCAATACTCTAATAACGTTTTCGACCGATTTTATCGGCCTTCTTCAGTTACTGCTATAACGAAAACGAACAAAGTATTCGAAAATTTACGTAGAACAAAATTAAATTAAAAATTAACTGCGGTTGCGCAGATCGACGGAAAAATAAAATAAAATACGTAAATAAATAAATAACAATAATGCCTTCATCATTAACTTGTGTTATTGTAAAACGACCTCCAAGCAGTTGCCAAACCTTCAGCATCTCTATAATTGATGCACCCCGTGGTTAAGTGCGCTTTATGGATTTCTATTTTTTCTAGATGTTTCACTGCTTGTAACGATCTCGTGGCCCTAATTATCGCTGCACTATCCCAGTATACTGTTACATCTTGTTCTTTGGCAAACGCTGCCAGAGCTGTACTATCGATGTTCTTACCCACGGAATATTTATGCTCTTTTAGCCTTTGCTTTAAACTCCGCATAGTTGCCCCAACGTATACGAGGTTGGTATTAAAGCGTCGATCCTTTATAGGTATAGAATATATACCTGTTAAACTATTGCGATTATCCTTCATCTTGTCATTCCTTAACATTCTATAAACTGTTGGATTGCGTCGATAAATAATGCNAACTATGCGGAGTTTAAAGCAAAGGCTAAAAGAGCATAAATATTCCGTGGGTAAGAACATCGATAGTACAGCTCTGGCAGCGTTTGCCAAAGAACAAGATGTAACAGTATACTGGGATAGTGCAGCGATAATTAGGGCCACGAGATCGTTACAAGCAGTGAAACATCTAGAAAAAATAGAAATCCATAAAGCGCACTTAACCACGGGGTGCATCAATTATAGAGATGCTGAAGGTTTGGCAACTGCTTGGAGGTCGTTTTACAATAACACAAGTTAATGATGAAGGCATTATTGTTATTTATTTATTTACGTATTTTATTTTATTTTTCCGTCGATCTGCGCAACCGCAGTTAATTTTTAATTTAATTTTGTTCTACGTAAATTTTCGAATACTTTGTTCGTTTTCGTTATAGCAGTAACTGAAGAAGGCCGATAAAATCGGTCGAAAACGTTATTAGAGTATTGAATTTTGTTGCTGGAATGTTATAGAAGGCGTTGTTTTCTTATATTATGTAAAGGTCTATAACACGTAATTTTATGACTTAACATCCAGAAATTATTACATTTGATTGTATATTCATGTTTAATTTAATATTTGCTAGTGAGCAACAAAGGAAATCATAAACTGAAATCAAATTTGTACTAACTGAGAACAGAACAAACATTTTCATATGTAAACTTTGAAAACTTTCAAAAATATCTGTCAATTTATATTGTTAAAATTTTAAAATATTTCTATCGTAAGATGAAATAATACACACTTAATAAGTGCATCAAATCAAGATGTAATAATTTATTGATGATACATTATATAAAACCCGCAACATTTGACCCAATAATGGCTTCATAACCACTAAAAATTAATGATGCAATGAATAGTATATTCAGCCTCAGGCTGAATACCGAATGTTCAGCTTGATTAACGCATGTATGAAAATTGGCACGCAAACCACATTATAGCAAGGACCATGCACCCTGCTCTCTATTGACCCGCTGTCACTATGTTTTGCCAATTGCGTTAATTCTTGACAGTTGTAGTGGACTGACATGAGCGTCATGGCAGTATGTGATAAGTGATGATATCAAATGTGGATAACAATGAAATGACCTACACGTGTAACTAACGAAAAAAGAACAGAGAAGGACTGCAAAGTGAAAATAAATATGAAATTGAGTTGATAACATAATCAAACAAGTCAAGGCAGCTTATTGGCAATTATTTGGCATTGACAGCTGTGAATTTCGCAGCCATCAATGCCAAATAATTGTTCTCATAGATTTCGGAAAGCTAAATGCTTGTAATGAAAGTCACTTAGCGTGCACAGGATTTCTCCCGTGCACGCTAAGTGACTTTCATTACAAGCAGATTGGTAGCCTGGGGCCGTTCAGGCTACCAAGTTGTCTGGAACTTCAGTTATGATAAATAATTTTCTACAATGAAACAAAAAAGTTAATTTAATTTTCAAGTTTATAATAAGGGATGATTTCATAAAAATGCTTTACAGATCATTAATTATTATTTTTTTCACATTTTATGACCATTTTTCGATCTAATGTGCCCACGCAGTAAAAATTTTCATACAAATTTTTTACCTTTTTCATCCCTTTAGGGTTTAATTTTGTAAAATCTTTTCTTAGTATACCTAAACTTTACAAAAGGAACACACCCTCAAATTTTTAAGTTTCTAGTTTTCGCTCTGTGTTAATTATCCTATCAGGACTTGTTCTTTTATATATGAGTATATAGATGACTAAACTACATAATAAGTAGGTAGTGATCATTTGTTACCTTTTTTCGATCTCTTAAAAAAATAACTTAGTTATATTACTTTTCCTTTGATCTTTTGCATAAATAAGCAAAAAATTGCACTTTCTCGAACTTAAAATGTATGTTCAGCATTAATAAAGTTATCAAAATGATTAATTTACTGTGTTTTTGTTATTTCTTTTTCCTTTTCTAGGTATTCGGTATTCGGCTGAATAGTGATTACATATTCAGTATTCGGCCAAATAGCGAAACATAGGCTGAATACCGAATAGTAACCAAATATTCGTTGCATCATTACTGAAAAGCTTGTTTTCAATAAATATTTGGCCAAATTCATAAGATATGTATGTATAAGATTACTAAAATAAATATTTTGTATTTTTTCCATTTGAGAACTAATGTAAAAGTCAAGAATTATGGATTAGAATAGCCAAAATTATTCCAATATTAACTTTTTTTATTTATGTTACAGAACAGTAATCTAGTCTACAGTTTCTTGAATCAAATATTTACAGAAACAAAATTTTGGCATCCATACACATGCAAATATATAACAATTGTGAAAACATAGATTTTTATAGGTATTATATTTTTTAACTTCAATAGTTGCCATATATTTTTTAAATGTTTTACCATTTGCTTGAAGTAGAAGATAAAAAATAGAAGAAACCGACTCTTCAGCATATTGTTCAACATCAGACATCACTTGATACTGTGTATTGTGCAACGATCTTTCCTGAAATTTTTAAATGAAAATAAATAATCATTTTTAAAATTGCTTGAATATATATATATATATATANCATTGAATATATATATATATATATATATATAAAACTGAAATAAAAAAACTAACTCTGCTTTCTATTAGACGAGAGAACCAATGCTTAGATAGTTTCTGGCACTGAATTACCTAAAAACAGATTTAAAAACAATCTGCAATATAATAAATAAAACAATTAAAATAAATTTTAATTAAAACAATTTATTATTTAATCTAATTGTTCCATAACAATAAACTTATATTAGAATTACATTTTTATCATTTCAGTACTAAAATCATAAAATTAATGTTTTGACAATAAAAATTGAATATAAATCAATTTAATAAATGAAACCTTACAAATGCAAGAAATATTAGATTAAGAAAATACTTTTGAAATACTATTCAGTGAAACATTAAATATAATTAATAAGAACAGGCTTTATGGGTCAGGAATACAATGATATGTAGCTGTTATTATTAATCCTTGGATTTTTATGTAATTGTACATTACATTTGTATATATGATTTTTCATTTCATAACGACATATTCATGTAACAGTTGGAAATCAATTAAAAAATAGCATTTTTATACGACCCATTTTAATATAAATAAGATGTATAATTATGATGCAAAATTATTAATTTCATTTGTTTGTAAACCATTTCCTGTTTTTGTAACACTCTTGTGTACTTGAAGTCATATTTTAATATTTCCAAATTGCCTTCTATCTAATTTAAAAAAAATATCTTAAGCTCTGTCAAGAGGAAGTAGCAATGATTCACGCTACTAATTACAAAATTTCTGATATACAAGCCTGAGAGAGTGTACCAGGCTCAAGACAAAGAAATTACTGGAATATTTTATGAATGAGATGTTGGGTGCATTTCTGATGTGAGAGGGAGATAAAAAGGAAGTTATCGGAAAAAAATTGGAAACAATCTTTGGAATCAACTTTTTGGTGTGAACTTATTGTCAGGTATCTGAATAGTGTTACAACTCTAAAGAAAGGATTGGGCTCATCATGGCCATTTGAAAGGAAGAATAAAGCAACATCAATTGTTAGAATGTTTAGGATCAAGGGGCTTAGTTTAGAAACAAATCTTTGGTTCATATTCATCAAACTCCTCAACCACATCAAGAACTTTCATACACAAGACTGTGTCAGTTGTGCTTTTACATGTTCCTGATATTTATAAGTTATTGTTAACCTTGGTTGTCAGAGATATCATCCTCCCTTTTGTATTAGTGGCAATAGACTAGTGTTAAGATTTATTTTGGTTCTAAAGAAATAAATTGTTTTGTACTTATAATAATTGATTTGTAGTTAATTATTAATATTCCTTTTTCTAACAACATATTTATGTGTATTTATGTCATTATATATTTATCAATATTATATCCTATTACTTATTTGAACCTTTTATATTTATAGATTTAATTGGCCAAGGATAATAAACTGAGAAATTTGAATTTTCAATTAATTTTATTTATTTATAACTTAAACTTTAAATCATATTTCTGATTCATTATCAACAGTTAAACAATTTCTAACAGAATCTGTTGGATTTCTGCTAACTTCATGCTTGGTGATTAAAAATATGCATTTCACTGGCTAAATTTCAATTGTAAATATTTCAAGCTGAATTTCATATTTCAAGCTGTGATTGGTTAGAAAAATTAATTTGACTGAGAATAACTTAGAAACAGTGTAAATATAATTATGCTCTCCATCACAAAAAATTATTTCTCTGCATCTTTTTTTTCAAAGAAAAATTTTTATGGTATGTTTGAAGTATTTTAGAAATATTTTTTTACTATTACTTTGATTTAATGTATAATTTTACAGAAGTGAGGAATAATAAAGAAACAATGGATGTTGGACCATTGGTGCTTTTGGGGAAATAAAAGAAAGATCAATTTATAAACAAAATGAAAACTGATATTAAAAGTTATTCAATCAATTAAAACTTTAATTGAAGCATTTTTTAAACAAATAATTTGTATTATAATAAACTATACTTTTAAGTTAATTAGTAATTGCAATCAGCTGTTTAACAGTATAACTGGTTACAACACACCCATGAGTTTCTTAGCACTTTATTAGCAGCTTGCAACAGGAAGGCTTATGGCTTACTCTAGTTACTCTCAAAATGCCAAAAGAACCAAAATCCTTTTATACCAAATTAAGAGAATGAATAAAATCTTTCAAAAAAGATATATATCCAACTGATGGAAGGATAGTATTTTGCCAAGAACACAAGAAAAACATAAGAAAAATATGAGACCTCAGTATTGATATTCTGTTTCAAGTTACATTAAATAATATATTTTATCACTAGTAAAATTTTCCTGTAGTATACTGTATCAATTTAGCAGCATGTCAAAACAATTATTTATGCAAAAATGTCAACAGGCAAGAAATACACAAAAATCAATGAGGCATTGATGGGAGAACCTTCCACACACAAGGATAAGTTTTCCTTTCAACTTTGTTCAACCCTGATAACTTTAACACCTTGTAATTCCAGCAAAAAGTTCTTTACTGCTAATGTTTTTGATCATATTGAATGATCTTTGGGTTACAACCTTAGGATACAAATAAAGTAATTTATAAATGTTAAAAGAACAATCTTTTCAAAAATATGAACTATGAAACATGAAACAAAAATGTAAGTTAAGATTAGGATGGCATGTTACAAAATTTAAATGCATTTAAAGAATGGCAACTTTCAATATTTAAAAAAACAATGTAAAACTAAAATACAAGTTATAAATAAAGAGCAAAATAACAAAAAATAATACAATTGATGGAGAGTCATAAAGTGTTGCACAGAATATCATCTGTTTGGTCATAAGACTTCAAAGAGTGATTTCCAGGCAATAGAAATGCCATTGAGTTTCTTCAATTAACACATTTTATCTCTCCTAGCAGACTTGTAGATCTCCAAAAATTCAAAAAAGGAATACCACTAATCATGTCAATTCTTTTCTCTGCCAACCTATCTGTACATCAGGAATGGAAGCCACCAGCTTATATTCCATGCAGGATAAAGAACAAAGCCCAAGTGTAACTATTGAGAAAAGGTATGCATCTTAAATAAAATATACACCAAATGATGATGCAAATTATCATTACATTTTTCACATAGTGTTTGTCAAATATTATTTTGTTCATTACTCTACATGTACAATACAGGTATACCTCTCCTTATGTCGGTAATTGGTTCCAGAAGAGGCGACGTAAGTAAAATTTACTTGTCACTAGGCTAAACCACAAATAACCATTCCCAGTTTTGTATTTTATTTATAAATGCATTTTTAATAATATATGATTAATAAAAATCTATTTTAAGCTTACAAACAAATAAATTTTAGTTTTTAATATAGTACAGAAAAAAGTAATCTAAATTTACGAATTCATGTACGTACAGTACATACCTGTAAATGTACATGTTTGCAATTTGGCAATGTTTACAGTATATCGCAAACTCTATTTGTGAATGTGGTTTCTGTAAGATTCCATCTTATAGGAATCGTAATTATAGGAACTCGTCTTATAGGGGGATCTACTGTATTGCGTTTGATAGATATTTCTCTTCGTTTTTATTCTAAAACAAATTGTAGAGAAAAGACAATTGGAAGTTAAATGAAGAAAGTTTCCCAAATATATATTCACATATTAAGAGAAGTTAATCCGACATTAAGCATGTAAGCCGTAGAAGAAACCTCAAGGTTGAACAGCATGTTACCTTTAGCTAGTTAATTTCTAGTTAAGAGTGTCAACATTGAACAATTAAAACAACATAAAATCCTTATATTATTTATAAGGATAAACTATAAATACAAAAACACTAAGGTAAAAAGTAACACAACAGCTTTGGATAATCAATTCTGTCAGATTAGTCTGCTATACAAAAACAAAAATAGTTTGGCATGAATCAAACAATTTTTTGGTGGAATAATACATATGTAAGTAACACAACTTTGTTCTTTATCCTGCAAGAAATATAGTAGTGGACACCTTTTTTGTAACAGTCCATTGGTGTTCCTTTAATCTTAAACTCAAAGAATGAGACATGGCACTGATGTACTCCAAATCAATTCCAAAATGCTAATCCTCAAGGAGAATTCTATATATATTCCAGGAGTTCTAGAAGGGTCTCTCTAAGATCTTTGTTGTATAACAATCTATACACATCCTGTAACTAGTGTTTCTTCTGTAACAAATGCAGGCATTAGAAATCTTGGCCATCTCGAGATAAATATCTCCTAAGTGTGTTGAAATGCATCACTGTTGCCAACTCCTGCATGTCTTGTGCTTTTGCCCATGACCATTTGTACTGTGTTCACTAAACCATAGACGTCGATCAAACACCTCACAACCAGCCGACTTCCTGATTCCACTCTTGGAGTACATGACATGTTTGCTTCAGACATTCTAAGATATCAAGCAGCTGACAGTGTGAGGTAAAAGCATTGAATTTGAACAGGAGACCATCCACCAATTAAGCAAAAGCATTATTGGGTTTTTGCTAGCTGAACAGAGTTTTTTTCTTTGACAAAGTTCACAAAAGGTTGGCTGGCACAAGATGTTATTCAACCTCCAAATGTCCTTGGTCCTCTCCAGTGATTTTAACAAGGAAGCAGGATAAAAGCTGGTGATTCTGCACAGACAACCAGAAGTTTAACTCTATTGTAAAGGAAGATCTGTACTTCAATAGACAACACATTAGATTGCTTACAAAAGGCCTAATATTATTCAACAGATTCACAGTCTGGATATTGGCAAGTAGAAAAGTGGACAAACAGAATAGAGAGATCATGTTTTATTGCAAATAGCATAGTAGATAATTAATTTTAAAAATTACAGTAATTTATTTTTTTGTAATAGCCACAGAAAATTTAGATTATGTAATTTCATTAATAAACTTAATTCTTTCTTATCAAAAATATTTTAAAAAAAATTGTTCCTATTCATTATAAAACTTTTAAAGTGAAAAGAAACTATATGCATATAATATATTTTTGAAGGTTCTTAGAAAATGAAGGCAATATTTAATAAAGTTAACTATTTTAAGTTAATATTTCTTTATACTTACCCTAAATAATTCTAAGGCAATTGGTTGTTGAGGTGGATAACCCTAAAAATTTAAGTATTGCATTAACTAAAATTTCAAAGATAAGATAATTTGATATATTTGTATACAGAATTATTTATATCTTCCATTGAAGAAATATTTTTATAAATACAAATGTATGAATACATATTTGTTTTAACCTTTAATATTCTTCTAAATATATACATTAGAAAATACATTAATACTGTTGAAAGTATCAACAATATTAACATAAATATTAAAATGTCAAAGTGTAAAAATATTCTTGCAAAAGGGCTTCATCAAATTTAATTTTCATCAATTATAAACACTTTTATAGTTCTTTAAAAAATATATATTTTTTCAAATATCAATGTAATTACAATTATCAGGTTGCAAAGGTGAAATTTAGACATTCTGATTTTTTCTAGAAATAACCAGAAAAAAGTTTCTTCTTCTTCTTCATCTGGCATTATGGGCTTTGGAGGCCCCCTTAACCTCAGCCACATCCTTCTCCATCTCTATAGCCTGCCTCTGCCAAACTTTGATTTCAAGGTCTTAAAAATCTTCAGTGACCCCATCTATCCACCTTTTACTGGGATGGCCTCTTCCCTCTCCCCTCATTATGAAACCTTCGTGAACTGTTGTATAGGAAGCCTTACGACATGGCCAAGCCACTGTAATCTTCTGGCCTTAATCACCTGTGTGATCATAGGCTTGTCGTAGGTTGTCTGCAGTTCCTGGTTTGTTCTCCTCCATATTGGTTCTCCATTGACCATGATAGCATTATCATCATAGTCTTCCACAGGTCTGAACATTTTCCTTAGTATTTTGTTTTCAAATCTCGGTAATTGTAGTTCCTCCTGCTTTGTCATTGGTCATACAGAATCGTGGGTCTAATCAGCGACTCATATACAGTTAGCTTTGTCCTTTTACTAAGGAGTCTGCTTTTTAGCATGTTTGTGAGTCCAAAGTAAATTTTGTTTCCCTTTAGCAAGCAAGTCCCTATCTTCTTGATGTCATTGTTTCTGTTTATGTCAGTCCCTAAGTACTAGAAGGATTCTGTAGTGCTCAATGTCATATTGTCTACGGTTAATGTTCTTTGTGGAATTCTCCCTTTTTAAAAATAACCATGCATTTAGTCTTCTCTTCATTGATGATCAGACCCATGCTCTTGGCAGCTGTTGCTAATTTTGATGTTAATCTCGTCACTTTCCTTGAGATGCTCCAATTATGACAATGTCATCCGCATATGCTAGTAATTACAGTTTATCTCTTGAGTCATATTCCTTTTTATTGTCTATCTCCTGGGCCATTCTGACAACTTTTTATAGAGTGATATTAAAGAGAAGAGGAGACAGGGCAGACCCTGTCTCCTCTTGCTCTGAAAGCTGTCTGACCTTGTGGCCCTGGTTTTTACTGTACACACCACACCTCATTCATGCAAATTTCTGCAAGTCTGAAGAGTTTGTCTGGTATCTCAAACTCCTTCATGGCCTTCCACACTGATTGCCTGTGGATGCTGTCATATGCCTTTTGAAAATCAATAACAGCAGGTGTGTATCAACATTGTATTCCGAGTTCTTCTCAAGAACCTGTCTTAATGCAAAAATTTGATCAGTTGTGGCTCTATTTTTTCAAAAACTAGTTTGATATTCTACAATCTCTGTCCTAGCATTAGTCCCGCTGTGGTGCAGGGTCCACTTTTTGGCATGCCAATCTCCACTTCTTTCAATCCAAGGCGTCCCCCTGGGGGACACCCACTAGCTGCATATCTTCGCTTATCCTGTCCATCCAACATTTCCTGGGCCTCCTGTGAGGGTGCTGTCCAGCTGGGTTGAGATGGGTAGCCATTTTTGCAACAGATTGTTCATTGCTTCTGACAACATGGCCATACCAGCGCAGGCAGTTCTCACGCATTTTCTCAATAATTGGTGCCACTCCCATGATCTTGCGGACATCTGTATTTGCAACATGGTCAAGTCGATTGAGTCCTAATGACCAGCAAAACATTTTCATCTCCATTCCATGAAGAGCTTGCTCATGCCTTACAGTCACTGGCCAGCACTCTGTTCCATACAATGCCACTGGTCAGATGACAGTTTTATAATTCTTTAATTTGAGTCAAATGGGCATTTTCCTGTCACAGAGGACTCCAGTAACCTGTTGCCATTTCAACCAGGCCGCGTTGACTTGTGTTCGTGCATCAGGGAGTATGTCTCCATCAGACGTAAGCAAGGAGCCCAGGTACTGTACTTAAACTGGGTGGTTTTTGGGAGTTCTTTGCCACTGACATTGATAGTGCCAGGATTTTGCTGCCCACACTCAAGGTATTCAGTTTTCCCAAGATTCAGCCGCAGGCCGTTTGCCTCTAAGTGTTCATTCCATTCCTGTGTTTGGTGTTGCAAGTTGTCCAGAGTCTCACTGGTAAGGGCTACATCATCTGCATACAGGAGGGACCGTGGTGCAGTGCTTGTATATCAGCAGTTGCTGTCCATACATAAAATAAACAGCAGCAGCGACTATGCAGACCCCTGGTGAACTCCAACATTAATTGTAAATAATGGTGAAATTCCTGCAGGACATCTAAAAGAACTTAAGACATTGTAGTAAAGCATTTGGGTCCACTTCACATAGAATTCAGGGACTTCATGGTTTTGCATTTCACACCAAATAAGGTCATGGGGAACTCTATCAAAGGCCTTCTCAAGGTCCAGGAATGCCATATGTATGGTGAGGTTCTTTTTCCAGTGCTTTTCAACAAGCATTTGTGCTGCATAGATTGCATCTGTGGTCCCGCAGCCCCTGACAAAGCCAAACTGGTTTGAGGTAATGGACACAATATTGAAAAGGCGATTATCTATGATGCGTTCAAAGATTTTGTGACAGAGTAGGTGGATGGGTCGATAATTTGCATATTCACTGACATCACCTTTGGCCTACCAGATTGGCACTGTGATGCTTATCATTCAGGCACTGGGAGCTTTATTTTCAGTTGTAATATGATTAAATAGTTTAGTAAGAGTTTCAGTTCCCTTGTCCCAAGTAACGTCCAGTGTTCAGCTGGGATGTCATCTGGACCTGTTGCTGTTCTGTTCTTCATCCTTTGTATGGCTGCTTTGACTTCTTGTGTTATGGATATTCTACAATGTTTGAATGAAAAAAATGTTCTAGAATGTTCAATTTCAGTATATAAGTAGAGTAACCAGGGTGCAGTTTGTCATATATTTCATTGGAAATAGAAGCATTGGCAATGTTTCACAATACGAAACTTTTGAAAGAATGCATTTACATGCTATTGCTCTGTCACTTCAATACTGGTCACAGTGCAACAAAGATTCATGATCTCATCTGCAAGGCATTTGACAAGGACACAGTTAATGAGCAGACCCACTACGATTGGTTCAAGAAATTCAAGGATGTCGCCTTCTCGCTTTGAGATAAATTATCTCCATCCAGGCAGTGATTCCACCATTGATGATGATGATCTTCTGTAACTGAGATGATAATCCATAATTGACCACTAGAGAAATTTTAGTGTTCCAAGATCAAAGAACTTCATAAAAAAACTGACAAACTCCAATACCATCAAGATGACATACCACCAAACAGAACAATGATGATCTTAGAAAAACTGGCCAGTCTGACCTGGAAGGTTCTGGATGGCACCAACTGACTACTATCTATTTCATGCCCTGCAGAATCATTTTGCCAATATACAGTTCAATGACAATCAGGGCCGGCCCGAGAAATAGTGGGGCTCGGTGCAAGGTTGTCGTACTGGGCTTTTTAATAAAAAAAAAACATAGCAGTTTCAAACAACAAAATAATAAGTAAATTAAACTTCACTCTGACACTGGAGATGAAATACTAAATACTGAACCTGTTCCCGGTGTAATTTGCGTGAAAAAATCTTCTTTCCACAAACATTTTCGAGCTTTCCAACTAGCTCTTCTTCAGGTAGACAAAAAATTCCAACGAAACACTTCGAAAAATGGAACGTAGATATTTAAATAAAAACCGAATCTAAAAATAGAACGCAGATGTTTAAACAAAAAAAAATATGAAACTTGCATAACGAACGATCATTAAGATGGTCATGCGCAATCGTGCGCTGATGTTGCTATTTATAGATCGTTGTTTATGAGGGCCTGCCACGCTATAGAAAGATTAATCTCATCCTTCCGATTTATACATGTGGTCCGGTGGTGAGCCTTACAGACGGATATAGCTTCCCGCCCTTTTAGTTGTTCCAGGTGGGGCGTAGTGTCGATGATGTCAGCTTTGTCGAACTCCGGTTCTATATTGGGATCAGATGCAAAGGTGGTTAGGGCCGTGGTGTACCGCCCATGCCGAAGGTCTGCTTGATGCTCTTGCACTCTGGTATTTAGTGGAGAAGGTTTCGATG